TGCTGACGACACGCTGGTGCTGGCGAACGGGAGGTCGCATCAGGCGGCGGCCGACCTGATGTCACAAGCGGTTGCGACAGTCGTTGCAAGGATCCGGCAGTTGGGACTCGAGGTGGCGCTCCACAAGTCCGAGGCCATGTGCTTCTATGGCCGTCGGAGCGCGCCACCTCCAGGTGGGTCCCAAGTAACGGCAGGAGGAGTTACCATCGGCGTCGAGTCGGCGATGAAGTACCTGGGTCTCGTCCTCGACAGCCGATGGAACTTCACGGAGCATTTTCGTCGTTTGGCCCCTAAGTTGGAACGGTCTGGGGCCGCGCTCAAGCGGCTCCTTCCCAACCTCGGGGGGCCAAACGCCTCCTGCCGGAGGTTGTATATGGGAATTGTGCGATCCATGGCCCTCTACGGTGCCCCTGTGTGGGCGCCGGACTTGAAGCGGCGGCCGGCTCGTACGCTGGTCGCGTCCCAGAGGGTCATGGCTATACGAGTAATCCGCGGGTATCGCACGATCTCCGGGGAGGCGGCGAACCTCCTTGCCGGATCACCGCCGTGGGATCTAGAAGCGAAGGCGCTCGCGCGCGTCTACAGTTTGCGCGCAGACGCGCGTAGCCGGGGCGAAGATCCTTTGCCGCGCCAAATAAGTGCGTGGCGGAATGAGCTCCGGCGAGATCTCATGGCAGAGTGGAGACAGCGACTGTCGCAACCGAGGGCCGGGCACGCTACCATAGCAGCGGTAAGACCCCTCTTTGAGGAGTGGCTTGAGAGACGCCACGGCGTCCTCACCTTCCGTCTGACGCAGGTGCTTACCGGGCACGGCAGCTTCGGTAGGTTCCTGTTTCGGATTCAGCGGGAGGAAACGCCCGAGTGTCGTCATTGTGAGGACCACCTAGAGGATACGGTGGAGCATACGGTAGCGGTATGCCCTGCCTGGGCTGAGCACCGCCGTATCCTCAGGGAAGTGATCGGCGGCGGCGACCTCTCGCGCCCGGCCTTAGTCGAGGCCATGGTGCGGAGTGAGAGGAACTGGGACGCCGTCTCCTCCTTTTGTGAAGCAGTCATGCTCGCAAAGAGAGAGGCGGCCCGCGTGAGGGAGCAATCCTCCTCCTCACGCCCCAGCAGCCGCAACTGGCGACACTACGGGCGTCGGGGATCGAGGGACGATCTCCGGCCACCGTAAGTACGGGCCTGCGGTCGGCGAGTAAGGGCAGCTCGCCGCCCGACCAGAACCAGGCCCGAGCGTACGGCGCGTAGCGTTCCGCGCGCGCCTCAAAGAGCCAATAGACCACCACAGACGGGGCCCTAAAGGGCTGATGTTCAGCCGGGGTTGCGGGGTAAGCGCAATAAGGTACCGCGACCTCGGCACAGAGCAGGAGAAGGAACAGGGGGGTTTTTAGTCAGTAAGAGTCTGACACTCCCTCCTGCCCGGCCCTGGGCGGGAGAAGTCATTTGATGATTTTCCCCTCACAAAAAAAAAAAAAAAAAAAAACCGGTTCGGACGTGAGAATACCTATAATTTTGCGCCTTATTTTTTCATGTTCAGTAGTCCAGGTAATTCGTCCTTTAAGTTTTGTGAGAGGGTATAGTGGACCGACTATACGTGTGAACTCAGGAATAAATTTCCGAAAGTAGGAGGCTAGACCGAGAAATTGGCGAACATTAGTAGCAGATTTAGGTTCCGGGGCATCTGCTAATGCCTGAATCTTCCGTGAATTGGGCCTAATCTCACCGGATTGTACAGAATATCCTAGGTAGTCAATCCGTTGTTTCATAAATTTACATTTCTTTGTATTGAACGTAAACCCGGCTTCTGATAATGCACCTAAAACGAGGTCAAGGCGCTTCAGTCCTTCGGAGATGTTAGCAGAATGACATAACACGTCATCCATATAGATAAGTGGTTTATCTTGTAAATGACTAAGAGCCCTTGTGATGCATCTCTGAAAAACTGAAGGAGCATTTCGCAAACCAAACGGCATGGCGAGATACTCGTATTGCCCTTCGTTTGTCACGAAAGCTGTCTTCTCCACTGACTCAGGGTGGATAGGGATCTGGTGGAAGCCAGAAGCCATATCCAATGAAGAGAAGAAATTGGCACCCGTAAGCTGGTCTATTTGTTCCTCGATTCGAGGTAAGGGATAATGTTCAGGTATGGTATTTGAATTTAACTCTCTAAAATCTACACAAAGTCTATCGGAATTATCCTTCTTTTTCACAAGAACGATAGGACTAGCAAATGGAGATGTACTCTCTCGAATCACCCCTGCGTCTAATAGTTTTTGAACCTGTTCCCTAATTATTTGTTTCTCTATAGGTGCTCTTTTATGGGGACACCGCTGCACTACTCTATGGAGATCTACCAATTTAATTTCACATACTCCCGTCTTCACACGCTTGGTAGGTATACCCTCGATAAAGTTATTCGCATATTTGCTCAATATGGAAATCAACATGTCTTTATCCCGTTCCTGCAAATCCGTGTCAATTTTTGTAAAATCTGGGATATCTGATGTCGCGACACAAAGATTAGATTGTTGTTTAGAGTATACAACAAGATTATCATTATCAATTTCTACACTTAACCCCTGATCAAAGATATCTCTACCAATAATTATAGGGTCAGATATAATATTGTCGGAAACTACGTGAAAGAGTAAACTAATCAAGCGATCACCAATTTTAACATCGGCCTGAATTTGAGTCGTACACTGTATATCATCGCCTCCGATGCCGCTCAGATAGACGAGACTTTTACACACAGTACCCAAGAGTTTACCACGATAACCTTCTTTCACAAGAGAGCAGGACGATCCGCTGTCAAATAGAAAAGGTACAGACTCACCGGAAGATGTTGTCAAGTTACCCCTTGAAGGACGGTGTTCACATTGGTGGACTTCCTTGGCCGCAGCTTTACCTCCGTTTCTTTTATCGGGACAGTTAGTCGTCACATGACCTATTTGGCCACAAGTGTAGCACGTTACATCGTTCTTCCTCTCCAACGGACGGGAAGTACTCGGAGTATCTCGAGGCTCGACTGATCCCAGTGCGTCGCGACGTTTACGGCATTCCGCAAAACGATGTCCTGATATTCCGCAAAAGTTACATCTGCCAGTGAACCTTTCGGTAGCACGAAAACGCTTCGCCTCAGGTTCGTTAGCTTCGACACCGTCTGAACGCCGCTTAAGAGATACGCCCCCCAGAATTCGGAACAATTGAGTGCGAGTTGTGATATTGTGCGCAATCAATTCGCGTCTTATCAGGCTGTCCTTCTGACAGAGCACAGAAATAACGAATCCAGTCACCACTTCTTCAGGCATGACAGCCTTAGGTATTCGTTCGATTAAGTTCCATAAACGAAGAGCGGCTTCCGAAGCTGTCTCCTTAGGTCCTATTTGGAATCGCAATATTTCGTCGAAGTAGTCCTGAAGAAGCTTTGGTTTTGAAAATTTAGCTAAAAGTGTCTGTTTGACAACGCTCCAGGATATTTCATCTAAGTTTAGCTTAGTGATACAGGCAGCCGCTCGTCCTTTTAAAGAAGTAGTAAGAGCCATGAGCAAGTCTATTCCTTCTAAGCGCTTATTATGAACGATTGCTTCGGTAATATTGCACCAACCAGATATGTCACAGTCTGGTTCGTCTGGATTAAACGGTAAGAAATGTGTTGCCTGGTTAGTACTCACAGTTGGCGTTGGCGGAGCTGCGAGAACACGAGATAAAAGCATTTCCATGTTATTCAGCAATTTTTCTGCATCCGATTTTAGTGTTTCTTGCTCAATTCTAGCCCCATCCGATCCCACTTCTGATGTAGGGTGAGGATGGCCTTCATCAGAACTCATCTTGTGTGATGTATGTGGGTAGTTGGCAAAATCACAAGTCCTTATTATAATCACAGTTATTTAATCAGCACAGGGTTTAATAATTGAAGTACACAGTCTAATGATCAATTTATAGTCCAATCAACGCGATACTAACTTAAACATTAAATTTAATTACGAATGAAATTCAAAGCGATTCGTCGTAAGCGTGGTGAGCGGGCGCCGTCTCGAAAAACAACCGTCTCAAGATGGCCGCCCTCACAACCATCGACAATGACGCTTCGCTAGGCTGACTTTTAACAGCTTAAAAATCAACCTGACCTCTAACGTTGACGGATGCGCCGTCAAGTATTTATGGCCAGACTATGTAAATATAATAACTTATCGGAAAAGGTTGACTAGAAAAGAGACTAGAATGGAGAAGTGTGGGAAAGCCATGTATCGGCTTGACTGAAGTGATACCACAGCTTCAATGCTTCAATGCAACGCGGCCTCGGCCTAGAGCAGGAAAAACAACGGGGGTTTTTAATCAGTAAGAGTCGGACACTTCTTTCCGCCCCACCCTGGGCGGGAGAAGTCATTTGATGCTCAATATCGGCGTGAACAAAAACACAGCGTTGTTTCAACATGTGGATGTGCTTACAGGCCCGTTCCCATTCCCCTTTCTATCCTTATTTCCTCCAATACCTCAACCATGATGACCATTTCTTTATATACTCATAATAATGAACACCTAAGTTTAGACAAGATCAATTTATATTAGGTACTTAAAAAAAGAGTTATGTCTTCACTTAAGCCGTGGATTTTTTATATTGTTTTGAAATGATTTACTGATAACAAAAACACGTTTTGTTTCATTTTAACTTTAAGGTATGAAATTGTGGAATGGACCTGAAAGGTAAAAAAAGTAGGTTATTTATAAGTAGCTAAAAACAACTGCATAACTTGGTAAGTGAATTTATTTCAAAATTATTTACAAAAAGTCCCAATAGAACTGCATATAATTTAACGTTTATTTATACAGGATTTTTAAAATTAGAACAAAATAATTATAAATTTATTATAAGAAGAAGCATTTAAGGTTCGAAGGCATATTTTGAGTGCCGAATCCTTTGCCGCAAACTAATCATATTCAGACACAGAACAGAAAATTAAGTGTATTTTCTATTTTCTGTATTTTCTATTCCGTGTATTCAGACATTTTGAACAAATATCGTAAAATAAACATCTAATAAGTAGGCTTTCCTCTTCTTTTAAGAATTATTACATTGATGTCAAATTTGAAACAGTAATAATTATTTATGGAGAGTACACTTATAAAAAGAATAATCGAAATAGTCAGTGGTCATCCAGTTCATGTTTAAGGCGTCCTTTACGGAGTCGCTGTGCGTTTTTCGAACCGTGTTACTTTTTTTTTGCACTAGTAATCGATACGACGCTACGTGACTTCATAACTGACGCCTAAGAATATCCTAAAATGTAGGTATAAGAAAATATCTTACAAGCTAAAAGATAAGGTATTTTTTTTTTTTGAAATATTTTACATACAACAAATTAGGTACAATAGAGATGAGACCCGTTACACTTTTAATAATAACAGATACATTATCATTTGGCAAATTATTTAATTTTAATTACGTACGTTATTACCTATTTACATTCTAAATATCTTTTATACCTACTTAACAATACTATTAAGTCTTTTAATTAACTCTATAATATACGATAAGTTACCATGATTTATTTGAACAACACGGAGAAAGGATTTAATATTTTCGTACATATATGGCACGTAATATGTATATACCTAGTTATGTTTATTATATATTAAAGCCGAATTTACTTAATAAAACAGTTACAAAAACTCCTTTTTAAAGTCAAATTGAAAACATACATTTTGTATATTAAACAAGCACTTTTGAAACGTCAATGTTGACCTGTCCAACAGAAGGTCATACTTCGGTACTTATGTCAAAAATAATTTTATTTTGATTAATTTCTCTAAATGAGGAAACTATATGTAATGTATAGTTTTGTGACATTATTGGGCAATTTTTTGCCTACTCACCCAATACCCACACATCTATTTTTTTTACTATATGTATAAAGCTGTAGAGTTTGTTTGTTTGACCGCCCTAATTTTTGGCAATACTGGTTCGAATTGAGCAATTTCTTTTTATGTTTGTTAGTCTATTTATCGAGGAAGGCTATAGGCTATAAAACATCACGCTACGGTATGTAGGAGCCTAGCAGCGGGTGAAACCGTGGTACAGTAGCTAGTCTACCATAAAACGAAGACGATTTGCTGATTACCGGGTGGTTTATGGTGGAAAGGACAACAGGGAATTAGGTGCAGTTCCCCCACATATTCTACGAAATGTATCCTGTGTGCTTTGCGCTAATTATATCCTTATGTGATGTAATAGATGCACTGCATAAGCCAACAATGATATAAGATTCGATCCATATTTTGTTTCATCACGTAAAAAAAATGTAATGTAAATTCGGCTTAAAGGTAAATTAGTAAACCATAGACATTATCCACTCGTGTCTGGCCTTGATTTGGTCCGCTTAGCCAAGTGAGTTTTAGAAAAAAAACTTTAATTTTATATGACGTGTTTATCGTGGAAAAAAATTCTTAATATTTTGATGAAATATATTACTCAAATGTCCCACTTGAACACTCTTTTTTTTAAATACTGTTTTTATTTTAACAATTTGTAGACCGCCATACTTTTATAGATATTCCATTAACACTACATAATTGTAGATTAATTAAAGATTTATTATTAAAATGTTTACAATTTTTCATTAAAGTTTTTTAAAAAACCAATCTAGACATTATTATACCTACAACTTACTCTTTATTCTCATAACAAGTTTATGTTTATGAATCACAACAATTAATCCCAATGTTAGTAAGTATGTATATAGAAAATGGTTCATAGGAAGGTATATATGTAGGTACTGAACATGCAGCACGCACCTTAACATATTGAAAACCTGGATCTCTATTTGAACAATATAATCAGCATATAACAACATGACCATAGCAATTCGGTCTATTATAATTATAAGTTTCATGTCACCAAGCTACTGATTTAATAAGTCTTTGTGCATTTGTAACTTTAAATCACATCCTTGTGTAGTTGCGGTCACAGTACTGATCTAACCGCGTGACGCTGTCCGGTCCAGTGAGCTATGTAGACAGTCCTCGTGCAGCGACGTGCTCCTCATTGGGAGTACGGTGCAGAGGCTTCAAACGTCGAAGAGCAGCGCGATGTTGTGCTGCTCGGCGCGTCGCTAGTAGTGGCTGGGCAGCGTGTGCTGCGCGTGCGCGGAGCGGTAGTGCGGCGCGCGCGAGTACGTGCCGTACGCGTCGTCTTGCCGCGCCGCGCCCACGCCTGCGCCCACGCCCGCGCTCACACCGCTCGCGCTCGCGCCCCCCACGCTGCCGCTGTATACTGACTCGCGCCTCTCGTTTACAGCCGCTCCTGTAAGCCGTTATTTAACGATTAATTACCTATACATTCGTAAGTAACCCTAAATTAAAATTAACAAAAGATAATTGTTTCAATCTGTACATAATTCAAGTTATTTTTTATGCGATACGGCCAGACGGGTTGTCTGGTGGTAAGCAATCAGCGCCGCCCGTTGCTTCTCCGCAATAACAGAGGAGCTACGGTGCGTTGCCGACCTTTTGGGGATTAGGGATTGTGGGAGGTGAAGGATTCGGCCTCCGGTAACCACTCACACGGCGAAACACAACGCTGTGGTTGTTTCACGCCGGTTTTTTGTGAGGCCGTGGGTTTATTTCTGGTCAAGCCCACCCATTCGTGCCGACACTTCAGGCAACTAATCCTATATAACCAATGACTAGAAGGGTAACTCACCGGCTGGTCCTGGCCGAACACCATTAGCTGTGCCGTAGGGAGGGTCTCGTTGCGCATTGTGGGCATTCTGGTTGTGTGCGAGAGCGTGATGAGCGTGTGTGTGTGTGGGTGGGCGCAGCACGAGCGACGTCGCCGCGACCAGCGGGCCTCCGCCCACTGCGCTGGTGGCCGCCGCGCTGCTGGCTGCCCCGCTCGTTGCTGAGCTACCTTTACTGTATACCGACTGTGATCTGAAAATAAATAACATTGGATTAACATCACAAAGCATGTTACATATAACTAAGTTTTCATGTTTAAATAATTAGTATTACAATAAGTACCTATGCAAGCCGTGCCTGGCGGGTGGAGGCGAGCGACAGTAGAGTGACTTGGTGCCAGAGTAGAGCGGCTCAGCGGTGTCGGGGCGCGGGGCTGCGGCGCAGTAGGTGGGAGCGTGGCGGTAGTGGTGGTGCGAAGGGAACGCGGGCTTGTCCAGCTCGTCTAGGTCACGAGGCGACGAGGCGCGGGATGACGTGCCCCTGGCTCGCCTGCCGCCCCACTCGTGCAACAGCGCGGAGGCCACACCGCCTCCCAGCCCGCCCACCCAGCTCACCCAGTGGCTCTCCCAGCGAGACAACACGAACGATGGTCCTAGTGATCTGGCTGGGTTCAGTGACGGCATCTGTAAATAAAATTTCAAGATCGTATTCATTTGCTTATAAACTGCACGGAATACAATAATAAATAAATATATGTTTTGAAATCCATATTGTTTCTATGTAGGTAGGCTAGTTGCTGCGTAAAGTTTTAGAAACTCCGGGTTAAGCTCGGCAAAATTCTTAGTAACGTAAATGCTCCTATTACCGCCAGTTTTAGCTGTCTTATGATTCACTTTTAAAAAATTGATATAAGCTGTTATGTTAGGAAAGATGTTATAATTTATAATTAATCTCAACGAAGTATTCTTTGCAATTCAGTACTTAAATTCAATATTCAATAACACAATAGTTACTAAATAATTATTTAATCCAAAAGAGTAGTTGATTCTATTACCGACCCATAGAATGCGGCAAGATTCTATTACCGATTTTTCTACTTCTTTTACCGACCGCTACGAAGTTGTCACTTCTTCTATACTATTAAATAAAATAAAAAAACGTTTTTAAGGTATTTATTATATAATAACAATAGTTATGAGATCAACATTATTACAATATGAACATAATTATTTATTGCAACGCTTAGAGCACTTATTTTTTGTTATTTTAATTAATAAAAAATATAATCAGCCTCAGAAAACAGTCTTCATATAATTAAATGCTTACTTTTTAATTACCTACATACTAATTAAATATTATAAATCAGTAACAAAAATATTTTTACCTGTAATACAATCACAAAATACCTTTATAATAGGTACACACATTTATAATTCGCTCAATACAGAAGCCGACCCCAAGATGCTTGGGATTAATAAGGCTAGGAGAAGAGAGAAGAGAGAGAGACAGTAATCAACGTTTGCAAATTCAAATAAAGTAGTTTTAAAAAATATTATCAGATTCAGAGTCAGATGGAAAAATAATATATCGTTTATACGAAACAGTTTTTGGTACATGTAACTCATCATTATCAGATGATGATGTATTTGGAAGAACTCTAGCTGATGTTGAAGCATAACCTGAATGTATTGCATTTTTAGTTTTCACTTTGTAATTATTTTGTCGTGGGATTAATACTGAGTCAGATTCAGATTCTGAACTTGACGTCGTATTACGACGTATTTCCAACGCTTTTGATGTATTATGTTTTCTCACACTTGTTGGTTTAGACACAGCTCCCATATTTTTCCTTTCTTTTGCCTTCCTAAGATCTGCTTGTTTCTTTTCTCTTTCTATTTTATTTCTTTGTAATTTTTCTTTCCGTATTTTTTTCTTTTCTTCTTCCTGTGCTTTTTTCTCTTCTGCTTTTTTCTGGTATTCCATGAACTCATCTGATATTGCAACAGTTGGTGTAATTTTTTTGGAAACTCTTTTATTTGATTTAGTGTCAACTTTAGGAAAGAATAGAGCATTTTTAAAAGGAGTTGTAAGATTGAGCTCTTTTGGTATAAACCTTGAATGACTAGAATTTTGGATTGACTTACATGGCGTTTCATTATTAACTGTAGTGAACAATGTGTCGTCACTATGACTTTTATTCAGTAGTAGCATAGGTTCATCACTATGGTTTTTATTGGATTGTTTAGGAGTTGATGTTCTTGCATTGTGATCTTCACTGTTTAACTCTTTGACGCAATCAGTTGAAGGAGTAATTGTTTTGGGGGGTATCTCATTAACATATTCCAAAAGATTCGATTCAGGCTGAGTGCTCAATAAAGATATGGTATCCGATTCTTTAGATATAATTGGAGATAGCAATTCGTCCATGGGAAACATTAAAACATTATTAGAAACGGTATTAAAACGGTTTGGAACAAGACATCCACTTGCACTGACTTCATAAGTCAACGTCTCTTCTTCACCAATATTGTTGACAAGCGTGGTATCACCCAATTCTAAATTGTTATCGAAAGTTTGTTGTAAAGGTGTATTGTCGATAGGATTAATATCCCTCCAAAACTCAAATAATTTTTTGTAAGTCTCATCGCCATTCCATACCGATCCCGATTTTTGGAACATTAGGAGAACTTCAGGTGATAAGCGACGTTCAAACTGCTGTTTAAACTTTTCTGTATCGTCGACAGATTTCTCATTGCCTGTAACAGTACTCGATCCATGGCTACTAATATCATCTGCATTGTCTCCACTTTCTTCACTTGTTGCATTAGCGTTTTTTGTCAAAAGTTTATCATAATTTACATTATCAGGTCCAAAGGGATATAATCCACAACATTGGAATCCATTCTTAATTGTTTGTGATACAAGAGTCTTTTTTAAGCAAATATCCACTTGAGGTGCAAAATCTATTCGTCTTAATTTTGCAAAGTTGTTTTGAACTCTAAAATCATGAACAACGGTTCTCCAAGTTCCTTTCACGGGTCTGAATACAGAAACGTCTAAGGGTTGAAGAACATGCGTTGCATTAGGTAATAATGCTATTAGGATTATTCCCTTTTCTTTGCAAAAAACTGTCAGAGGGAGTGATATATGAGAAGTGTGACCGTCGAGAAAAAAAGCTACAGGAAATTGTATGTTATGCTGAATCAGCCAGGGATAAAAGCAATTGGCAACGTACTCATAAAATGCGGCCATATTCATCCATCCTGACTCAGTGTGACCGATACCCCATCCAGATGGTACAGTTGGAACAATGTTTTTTGGTAAACGCTTGTATGGATATAAGACCATGGGAGGTGCTATTGCAGCATCTGCAGACACATTTACTAGCACTGTTAAACACTCCTTTTCGTCATTGGCCACTCTACTATATACTTTCTTGCTGCCTCTTCGGACAAGAACTTGTTTTCCTTTCGGACACAAAAAGAATCCGGTCTCATCACAATTAAAAATCCGACTAGGATCTTCCAAAACATCAAGAAGGTTATTTTGTTCAAAATAACTATGTACTCGATTGAACCATGCTCTTACAGCTTCCTCTGTAATATGTGAACGGCTTGTAGGCAAATTCTGAGTAATTCGCCTTGAAATGGTAGGATGCCTCGCCATAAACTTAAGAAACCATCCTTTTCCGGGAACACCATCTTTAAAAGGATTAGAGCGATTTAAGTTTTCCACCAATTTTGCTACTGTTTCCAACAATTGATCCTTAGTTACAGGAAAACCTGACTTCCCGAGATAAAAAATCCAGTCTACCAGTCTTTTTTCTTCCTCCTTCGTTAAAACTGTTTGTTTTCCACAATGTTCATTTATATATTTATTATTTCTCTTGTCACGCAGAGTTGTCCTCGGTATGCCATAGGTTTTTGAAGCTTCGTATATGCTGGTACCTTCATTTATAGCTAGAAGCGCAGCTTCTAGTTGAGCAGAGGCGTACTGCTTGCGCTTCTGCGGCTCCATGATTCTATAAAAGAACACAATATTTTTAAAGAGATATAGAATTTAATTCTTCGAAAGAAGATTTAAAAAGTTACATAGCCCCCATTCCGTCCCGCCTTTTTTATTTGATTTGAAAACATATGAAATACAGCCAATGCCATGAAGCCGTGAATGAAACTGGATAGCAAATATTATTTTACATTAATAATATGTCCTGTGACAAAATCTCTCAAAACGTCACGTATGCAAAAAATAAGCCAATTTGTTCAAAAATATACATTTTGTTTTTGTGTACTGTAATATTACCAAAAATATCGCCACAACTGTGAGTCGGTAATAGAATCAAGTATGAAGGTTACAATATTCTATTAGCGACCAATAAAATTAATAATAAACAGATAAAATATTCGCTTTATGGAATACTGTTAAATTCGATCTCATTGCTATATTATTTCTTTTAATGTCAGTTAGTCTTTAATTCAGATAATATCAGTTATTTTAGTATAATATCATTATAATAATAGGGATATTGTCTAACGTTGAATCAAGTTTTACACAAAAACTTTAAGAAATAGCTTTGTCGTTAATAGATCTAAAGAAGTAAAATAATTTTAAGAATTGAACAAGAAAAAAATCAAATCAAATGAGGTAGTTTATAATAGATAATTTTTTTAAAAACTTTAATGTTCTCAAAATTTAACAACGCCATGGGTCGTTATTAGAATCAAGTTTTGAAATTTGGATTCTATTACCACCTTAAATTAAAACATGATTTTATAACACAAAAACCAATAAAAAGTATTATTATTAAGAGTTAGTTTAGATAACGAATATATACGTTACAGTTGTAATGTGATAGCAAGAAGGCAAATCCATTTTTAGTGTGTTATTTTCCTTAAGTAATATTTAGGTGTACTTACGTGGCTGGAGACGCGACACTATGAAACGTGCGTCCGCTTCGGGCGCGTCCCACTTACTGTCAAATTACTTTTTTCACTGGCTATTTAAACACACAAACTTTACTCTTTTTGTTGTCCAACAAAAATACGTTACTAATTTTTAAGGTATGACTTTTCTGGAACCCTATATTATGTCTAATATGAGTGATTTAAAAATTAGATCGTTAATAGAGTACACATTTTAGGGGGTCGTTAATAGGAGCTTTTACGTTAAGTAGGACGAGTTCAGAAATGTCAAACTTAAAAAAAATCAACAAAAACTTGGATTCAGAGGATATAAAAGCCTCGGTAGATAGTGTACATGGGTAATGTGCCTACATATTTCCCCGTACACTTTGTTTGAGCGGACAGATGGGCACGCTACAACGGCAGCTGTCCTTAGGGATGCTGCACAAAAGGCAGGTAGCTTGTAATACATTCCACATAATGGCGCAGTCGGCAAACAATGCACGAGCTCGCATTGCTACACTGTGCACACCTGACACCGCGATTGTTCAACATTTTGTGTTCAATACCGGTACTTAGGTAATGTCTACTCGTCTTGTACAATTTTTAACAGACTTCAAAGTGGAGAGAGAATCTCAATTCGGCAGCATACCTATACCTAAATTTTTACCAAAAAAAATTTTCTGTGTACATAATAAAACATGTTTTCATTTAGGTGAATAAAAAATAATATTAATAACTATTTTTATAATCTCGAAGACGGTGCCTTCTCCTTTTTTTTTAATTCGGTTAAAAAATCTAAATATTTGGCAATTAACAGTTGTGCTTATAAAATGGAGCATCAACTTGTATATGGATTTCGTGGATATTTCTTTTTTATAAT